CTTGATAGACAAGTCTTGGGCATTATCCGGCTATCATTGTCAAGAAGAGTTGCTCATAATGTTACAAAAGAGAAATCCACAGCAAGATTGATGGAAGCCTTGTCTGGGATGTATGAGAAGCCATCAGCAAATAACAAAGTGCACTTGATGAAGAAGTTGTTCAACCTGAAGATGACAGAAAGCACCTCTGTTACACAGCATCTTAATAATTTCAACACCATCACAAATCAATTGTCATCCGTTGAAATTGAGTTTGATGATGAGATCCGAGCACTTATTTTGCTAGCTTCACTTCCAAGCAGTTGGGAAGGTATGAGAACAGCCGTAAGCAACTCAGCTGGAAAATCCAAATTAAAGTATGATGATATCCGAGACTTGATTTTAGCTGAAGAAGTACGAAGAAAAGACTCGGGTGAAAGCTCAAGTTCAGGTTCAGCTTTCAACATCAACACTCGAGGAAGGAGACAAGACAGAGGCTTATCCAGAGGCAGATCAAAATCTAGGTACAGAAGCAAAAGCAAGTTTGGACCTAGGAAGCAGGTTGAATGTTGGAATTGTGGCAAACCTGGTCATTTCATGAGGAGTTGCACAAAACCAAAGAAACCTGAAGCTGATTCGTAAATGCCACTACAAACGAGGTACAAGATGCTTTGATCCTTGCTGTACATAGTCCTATTGATGATTGGGTTCTTGATTCTGGAGCTTCATTTCACTGTACTTCACACCATGAAATGATGCAAAATTACACTGCTGGAAATTATGGGGTAGTCTATCTGGCTGATGGACAACCATTGGATATTATGGGTATAGGAGATGTGCAAATCAAGACAATGAATGGATCTACATGGAACTTGCAAAATGTAAGGCATGTTCCTGAACTAAAGAAGAAGTTGATCTCGGTCGGACAACTTGATGATAGTGGTCATTCAATCCTTTTCTCTGGAGGAATGTGGAAGGTATCAAAAGGAGCAATGGTTTTGGCTCGTGGAAAGAAAACTGGCACACTGTATATGACCACAAGATCAACAGATATAATTGCCTCTACTGAAGCAGAAAATCAGGCGCAGTTATGGCATTGTAGACTCGGCTATATGAGTCAAAAGGGGGATGAAGATACTTCAGTCAAAGGGAAAGCTGCTAGAGTTACAAAATATTGATCTAGACATTTGTGAAAGTTGTGTTCTCGAAAAACAGAAGAAGCTCAGTTTCTTAAAGGTTGGCAGGACCTTAAGACCAAGAAAGCTAGAACTGGTGCACACAGATTTATGGGGACCAGCTCCAGTAGCATCTCTTGGAGGTTATCGGTACTATGTGACTTTTATTGACGACTTCAGCAGAAAGGTATGGGTCTACTTTCTAAAAAATAAATCTGATGTGTTTGACACATTCAAGAAATGGAAGGCTATGGTTGAAATTGAATCAGGTTTGAAGTTGAAATGCTTACGATCTGATAATGGAGGAGAATACATTGATGGAGGTTTCAAGGAGTATTGCGCTGTCAACGGTATCAGAATGGAAAAGACAGTTCCAGGCACACCACAACAGAATGGCATTGCTGAACGGATGAACAGGACCATCAATGAATGAGCTAGAAGCATGAGGTTGCATTCTGGGTTACCTCAAACATTCTGGGCTGATGCAGTTCATACTGCAGTTTACTTGATCAACAGTGGACCATCAGTTTCTTTGGAGTTCAGACTGCCAGAGGAAGTCTGGAGAGGAAAAGAAGTACAGCTTTCTCACCTACAGGTCTTTGGGTGTGTTTCCTATGTGCATGTAGACTCTGATGCTCGCAACAAGCTGGATGCCAAATCAAAGAAATGTTTCTTTATTGGCTATAGAGATGAAGAATTTAGATTTTGTTTTTGGGATGATCAGAACAGGAAGATTATCAGAAGCAGGAACGTGATCTTCAACGAGAAAGTTTTGTACAAAGACAAATCAAGTACAGAACTAGAGATAACTGATTCAGATACGAGTCCACAGAAATCTGAATTCATACAATTAGAAGGGCTTCCTGATGTTACCACTCAAGAGTTCATACAAGACAGTTCAAGCACTTCAGTACCCACCACTTCTACACAAGATAGTGCAGAGACAAGTGAACCAGCTGTTCACAGGTCTTCAAGGACTATAAAGCCTCCACAATGGTTCACACTTCTACTGAATTATATCTTGCTGACAGATGGTGGTGAACCATTAACTTATGAAGAATCCTTACAAGATGGAAACTCGAGCAAGTGGGAGTTAGCCATGAAGGACGAGATGGAGTCATTGTTGAAGAACAAGACTTGGGAGTTAACCAAACTGCCTGAAGGAAAGAAGGCCTTGCAAAACAAGTGGGTTTACAGAGTAAAGACCGAGCATGACGGAAGCAAACGGTTCAAAGCAAGACTTGTTGTAAAAGGGTTTCAGCAAAAGAAGGGGATCGACTATTCTGAGATATTTTCTCCAGTTGTGAAGCTTACAACAATCAGAGTTGTTCTGGGGATAGTAGCTGCAGAAAATTTACATCTTGACCAATTAGATGTAAAAACAGCATTTCTTCTTGGAGAATTGGAGGAAGACATTTACATGCAACAACCAGAGGGGTTTGCAATACCAGGAAAGGAGAGTCAAGTTTGCAAACTAAAGAAGAGCCTATATGGTTTGAAGCAAGCTCCAAGACAGTGGTACAAGAAGTTTGATAACTTCATGTGTAGTACGGGATACACAAAATGTCAGGCTGATCACTGTTGCTATGTCAAACATTTTGACAACTCCTATATCATTTTACTGTTATATGTGGATGATATGTTAATTGCAGGATCCAGCATGGAAGAGATTGACAAGCTAAAGCAACAGTTGTCAAAACAGTTTGAAATGAAGGATCTGGGAGCTGCTAAACAAATACTTGGCATGAGAATCATCAGAGACAAAGATAAAGGCATACTAAAGCTTTCACAGGCAGAGTATGTCAAGAAGGTTCTCAGCAGGTTTAGTATGGATAATGCTAAGCCAATATGTACACCTCTGGGGAATCATTTCAAGCTCAGTAGAGATCAGTCACCAAAAACTGAGCTAGAACGTGGATACATGGACCAGATTCCATACGCCTCAGCTATCGGCTCCTTGATGTATGCCATGGTCTGTACTAGACCAGATATTGCCCATGCAGTGGGAGTTGTAAGCCGATATATGAGCAATCCTGGAAAGCAGCATTGGGAAGCAGTGAAATGGATCATGAGGTACTTAAAAGGCTCATCGGAGACATGTCTTATTTTCACAGCTGGCGGTTTGAAACTTGAAGGCTTTGTAGATGCTGATCTAGCAGGAGATGTTGATAGTAGAAAGAGTACTACAGGTTATATATACACTCTAGGAGGCACTGCTGTTTCTTGGAGTTCTACCTTGCAAAAGATAGTTGCTCTTTCAACGACAGAAGCTGAATATGTTGCAGTTTCAGAATCTGCAAAAGAGATAGTATGGCTACAGAGTTTTCTGCAAGAATTGGGCAAGATGCATGGAAAGGGTACTTTGTATAGTGACAGTCAGAGTGCAATCTTCCTTGCTAAGAATCCAGCATTTCACTCCAGAACAAAGCACATACAGATCAAATATCACTTCATCCGGCAACTGCTCGACGATGAACAACTGTTACTTGAAAAGATCTGTGGAAGCAAGAATCCAGCTGACATGTTAACCAAAGGAGTCACTCTTGATAAACTGAAGCTGTGTAAAGCTTCAATTGGTCTTAAAGATTAAAAGACAGATCTAGCGTCATTTGTGTCCAAGTGGGAGATTGTTGGGTGTGGACACAACATGGTTGGTGGCAGCCATGTTAGACATGGCTAAAGTCAATGGTGGTTGCATGGTGGGTGCCTAACCAAAGAAATTGTTGCCCACCATTGTTGACTAAAGAAGAAGCTTGTCTCCCACATCAGCTATAAATAGAGAGTGTCATTGATAGCTGATGATCACCACGAAATAGAGAGAAACACAGAGAGAGAGCTAAGGGTGAGAGTTGAGTTGAGTAGAGAAATTTTCTCCTCCTCCTTGTTTTGTTGTTTATATTGCTTTTGAGCTTGATTAATACAAACCAGTAGCTCCGTGGAGTAGGCAAGTTGCCGAACCACGTAAATTTGTGTGTGTTTGAATATTTAGATCTCCTAACACTTTCTACTTGTCTTGCAACATGGGATAGTGTAAGGGAAATCTCTTGATGATACATATTTAGTTGTTAGACAAACACACGCGGGTTAACAGAGAGAAGGAAGGCTGAAATTTTAACAACAAAATCAACTGTTTTCAATCTTGAATAGTGCATGTAGGCCAGCAATAAAGGTATGAAGAAATTTTTTTATAACCATGAAGCTATCTTTGCATAAAAATACCTTAGAGCGTGGGTCTGTTCACAGAACAATACCAAACAAATGATAGGCTTGGAAGACAACCTGTATGCTTGCACACTTTTGTTTTAGGTTGATTATAATAGGTAATTAGAACTACAAGGGAATCACCTGGAAAAACCATTCCTTGATCCTCCACCAAGCAAGGAAGTGTCAACTAACATTGCTTGTCTTTAGAATTTGGATTTTATTAAAGTAAACTACAAAGAGAAAGAAGAACTCAAAACCCTCAACGCCTATATATAGTGACATCAAAAAGAAAAGAAAAAAATCATCATTTGACTATTGATTTGTTCTTCGGTGTGCCTAGATATGAAATTAAGGTATATAACTTGTAGTGGATAGTCTTTGTAAATCTTGAATTAACCAACAAACTTTGAAGTATTTATTCTTCCTTAATTTTCTAGAATCAAAAGGCAGAAAGCATAAGAAAATCTAGCTTGGCCTCTAAGTTGTTATAGAATATGTTCGTTAATCCATAAGATCCAAGAAGAGAATAATATGTTTTAAAATTTTTATCTTAGAAAAAAAATGTCAAATAACATAACACATCATGGTTTGATCCCATGTCTCCCTTTTAATTGATGTTATGATGCAATTTGCGTACATATATTAATATAGAGAATTTTCATGATAAAAAAAAGGCAAACATTGATGCTATTTGAATGCCAACAAAAGACTATGTAAGAGAAAATAAAAATTCTAATATACAGAAATTTTCATGTAAAATTACATCTATAGCTCGCTACAAAGTGCTCCACTCAAAATCCACATATTTCCAAAATGCTGTCTAATTTCATTTATTTATTTTTTGTTCTTTCATTTTGTAGACACTTAGCAACGAAGAAAATGGACCTTTACTATGTCCAATTATCTCACGTTTCTCCCCATGAAAATGTTGAACCACAACACGTAAATCATCAGCTTCTCTGTGGTGGTACCATACTGAAATAAGCCTTCACTTTCCCTGGGATGTAGAGAACATAAACATCCTTAACAATATTTGATTAACAATAACCTGAATTGTATTGTTTAAAAATTGAAGTTCATAATGAGCTTTTCCAATTATATACAGACAAAAGATGGAATGTTTTCTCATTCTCTTCAGTCGCCAAGAAATCTTACCCATTTCCATCAGCGAGGTTCAGCATGGGTATCTGTTCCCGGACACGCACAAAGAGAGTGCAAAAAGATTGACAGTTGGCCTATTTATGCAAAATGGACCCTCAAGAGGAGTAAAATGTCCAGAAAATCAAAGAAATCACTTACCAGTTGTTGTGAAGGAATATCAGCAGTTCTTCAACATATGCACACGTTGTGTTCCTTAAACAACAATAAAATGAATTCAATCTCATTCTCGTGTATTGGAAAAAAAGAAAAATTGAATGCAACATATGGAAAAAACAAAATTCAAAGGAAGGTAGCTTCGTAGATTAATCATGGAGGGAAAAGAACCACCTTAGAGACAACAGCTAACAACACCCAACACTGCAACCCCACCTAACCTATGCATTCAACTAAAATCAGCCCAATCAGGTTGTCGACACAGTTTCAAAACCCACACCTAAAAGCCTCTTTTTCGCTCAGACATATATAATAACAGTCTCAGTGGCGGCCACGTGGGTACAGAAGAGAGCAATTACCCCCTTAATTTTTTTCAATATTTTTTATATGAGGATATTGATATAATAATTTGGGGAGGGTTTATACATGGGAAGTGGGAAGTTATTGTTTAATTATATTTTAATATAATATATAATATATATTTTCAACTCATTTGCTTAAATTTTTTTCTTTTTTTTTAACTGATTAACAAAAAGTCCTTTTTCCTTTTGAATTGTTGTTGCCTGTCTTTTTCTTTTATACAAAATTCTTTTCAAGTCTAGATAAATAAGTATTTTTTTTACTTTATGTTTTAGGTAAGAAATTTTTTATCTTTTCTATTTATTTTATTATCTAATTTTATTTTTATTTTTTTGTAATTAGTTATTAAAAATATTAGGATTTATGATAATTTAAGGATTTTGATATGAATGTATTCAAATATATTCAAAATAAATATTTGAATTTCTTAATTTAATCAATTAAATGTTTCCTTTCTTATTATAAATGAATAAATTAATGTTCATGCAAAACCATTATTATTGACATAGTAGATTATTAAAATTATTTGACTAAGGTCTCTTAGTTCACTATAATTATGGATTAATTATTTAATTGAGGTCTCTTAATTTATAATTTACATATATTAATTGTCATTTTATATCACAAATTTATTTGTAATTAATTGTTAATAAGATGTTTGAAGTTAGGAGAGGGCATGGGTTTAAATCTTATAAGTTACACTTTCTCTCTCTTAGTATTTTATATATATATATATTTGAAACTAGAGTATAATATTAAAATTTATTTTACATATTTGACTTAGTGAGTTCATATAATTTTTGTGTGTCTATCTAAAAATAATTTAAATGTCTAGAAATGATTAAATATAATTTAATCAACATATATATATATATATATATTGAAATGAATTTTAATGAATTAATGTGTATTTTACTATGAATATCATATGAAAGATTTAGAATTATTATGCAACTCAAATGACTTTATTATTGTGTAATTGTGTTAATTATTATATAAATACTAATAATAAAAAAAAATCATAGGTTTATCAATTAAATTAATATGTTATTATAAAAGTATTTTAAATGTAAATCCCTTAAAGATGAATTAAATATGAACAGTTATTTAAAGATTTAAGTTATATAACTTAATTAAGTTAAAAAAAATCATATTAAAAAGTCATAATGTATTGTTAATTTACCCTCTCATAAAAAAAACCTCTGTCTCCAACGCTGAACAGTCTGATAGGGTTTTTAACTTTTGGAATTGAAAAGCTAACAGCAAGAAACCAGAAACTCAGTAGTGAGAATCAGCAAGCATGCCACTTGGGTCACAAAGCAACAAGAATCCATAACCACCGCGCGTTGAATTATTAGTCTTGCAAGTTCCATCTCCACATCCACTTCATAAAAAGAAGAAAAGAAGAAAAGAAAACGACCCGACAAGATTCGAAACGATCCGTGTTGGCCCGGTATTATTGATGGTGGGGCAAGAAAAGAAAAAAAAAACATTATTTTTTTTAATCAGATTTCTTTTCCGAACCGAGCTTTTAATCAGATGACTACGATGTTTACTTGATGGTCAAAAGTCCACAGATTTAACAATCATTCAAGGCGAGGGGAGAAGAAGGATTATCTATTTTTGTGTGTGGGGAACAGAAAATAATGTTTTTTTTTCTCATGCATCATCATGTTTATGGCCTCCTCTTTTCTATAAAAGAAATAAAAGGAGAGTCAGATTTGAGTACTTAGTTGCTTATATAATAATCACTAGAAACTTATATGGTTATTAATTTTAGGGTCCGTGGGATTAATTATGATGCGCCCAAGCTGATCCAAACATCCACGTTAATCTAAAATAAAAAAATAGAACGAGAGTGATAACCTATTATTTTTTAATCAAGTTAAACACTGAGCTCACGGTAATGTGCCAGATTCTATTCTTGAGTTTAGCCAATCAATCAACTTAATCATATATTAGCTCGTCATAGCCTAATGTTTTTTACTTCTGAAATTTTAGGCTCCATGATTGAACATTTTAGCCTATGACGAATTAGGGATATATATTTTTTCACTTTGTAGCTTCGGGCTATAAAGGGGCTAAAGTGATAAAAAAAAGGTCCCATTCGGTTTTTTTTTTTTTTTTTCAACTCTAGACCTCATCATTTTTGCTTGCCTGTAATTTGCTCTTCTTGCCTTCTACAAGAAATGGGTAGTTTTGATATTTCATATACAGGAAAAGAAATTAAAAAAAGGGAAGCTGTGTCAATATCCCATGATATTATATGTTAGAGCCTTGATCATAGAGGAAGAGAAGGACAAAAGAAAAGGGTGTCATGAATCAAGGACACACCAA